TCCTTACTGTTACGTCACCGTCGGGGGAAGGGGTGTTTACCGAGCGTTGCGTACTGATGGAAGTAGTGGGGGTATGTGACGTCACTCGCGAGACCGCAGAGTTCACTTGACCCCTACTTCCTGTTGCGTCATCCACGTCACATTATATGTCAAATGAAAACGAGTAAGAAGCCAAAACATATAAAAGAACATTTCTTACCTCAAAAGTAATCTCCAAAACTGTTAATACATTTATCCCATTGGGACATAAGGCGGTCCGTCCCATCCTTGACAAAGCATGTGGGCTGTCTACGGAACCACATCTTTACCCTGTCACACACGTCTTCGTCCGATGCAAACCGATGCCCACGAATGTCTCTCTTCAGGTCCCACAAAGTTGGTGGTGTGGGGGCGCATTTTCATGAAGAAGGATAATGCTGTTCGATAGCATTCCAGGGCATTTTGACTTTATGGCACGTCTCAGTTCCTGCAAAGTGTCTTCATAGCGCTGTGCACTGATTGTGGCCCCATGCTCCAGAAATTCGACAAGCAGAGGGCCCTTGCAGTCGAAGAAGAACGTCATCACTTTACCGGAACTTGTGTGTACGGCTTTGGATTCTTTCGGTGGGGGAGAATTCACGTGTTTCCACTGTTGGCTCTGCCGCTTGCTCTCGGGTTCAAAATGGTGGCACCAAGTTTCGTCCCCAGTGGCAATACGTGACAGAAAAGCATACACTTCCTCATGGTATCGTTGCAAGTGACCCAGCGATGCAGCCATTCTCTGAATCTTCTGTTCCTCCGTGAATTGATGTGAAACTCACTGCGCGCAGTTTTTGCGGTACAACAGGTGTTTTGTCACAATGGCGTGTACGGAACCGTGACCTATTCCCATCAAAAGACTAATTTCTTCCACAGTGATCCGTCTGCTTGCCCGGATATGATCATCCAATGCAGCAATAACATCAGGAGTGATGACACGATGAGCCTTTCCTGGGCGACCATCAGCTTGCAGTGACACACGCCCCTCTCGGAATCTCTTAGGCCATGCCAGCACACGCGAACGTGACATGCGACGATGAATTTCTCGTCTTCTTGCTCCTTCAGCAGTCAAAAAGCGCACTACACTTCGCCGTTCTTCTTTAACTGCCTCCATTACTGATGTTGGACGATCATACGTAGCGCTAACCTTACTTCCAGTACAATAAACAAAGGACTGGTGTGCAAGTGCAAGTCACTGTGCTTTCCCGAGTCCCCACCAGATATTCGTACGGTAAGCAAATTCCAGTGTTACCAACTTGCGCGCCGTGTGACTTATGCATGGTTACCCGTCTTCATTTGACTGCCCTTTATATATAGTGACATGTTGCGCAATGGAGGACACCCCCCTCGCCAGCGGCGACGTAGCAGGTGAGTCAGCATTCCCCCCACCCGGCACTGTGACGTGGCAGAGCTCCCCGCTGTGACGCGACACCGCTTCCTACTGTAACGTGGCACGCAACGACGCTGGTGACACGGGCAACAGGCAACAGGGAACGGAATAAAAGCCGGCTGAGCAGTAAGCGTGAGTGAGTTAAAAACATAGCCGCCGCCGAAGTTACTTCTCAAGCCAGCAGCCTATGAGTTGAGTTGGAATCTAACAGCAGTCGCGGAAAGAAGAACCGGATGTGTGTGTAATTGTGTAATTGGGAGTGTGTGATACAGGGACACTTACATAGCTCCCGTACTGTGAATACGTGTAGACTACTGAAGAGAGTGTGAACAGATTATTGCGAATAGGGTTATAAAGTGTGAAACCCCGCAACTGTGTTATAATTAATTGTAGCCGAGACTTGTAGGTTATTGAATAAACCAATTAACAATTTCTACGGCGTATTCAGTAACGAAACACGTTACAATATATATTGTTTAGAATGATCGATACTGTGACCTTCCAGAATATTGATCCTTCTTACTGGAACATTCTGTATAATCTGTGCTACTAACAGGATCGTACAGTAACCCTCAAATTATTATTAAGTTAGGTACGTTTTATAGTACTGAACATATAAAAGTTTGGGAGAGCTGTCCACGAACATGGTCATGATGTCTGCATTTTCTTTTCTTCTTTCGTTTAATTTGCATTTAAATTACATGCATTTTCCTCTACATCAAAATACTATAATGCCCCATTATTCACATTTCAATTGTATTTACTTACCAATTTTTGTTCCGCGCATGCCATATATGCAGTGACATTTTCTAATTTTGTAAACCAACATTTAGAGTCATGTAAAATATATGACCTAATCATGACGACATACACGAAGAAGCCTTGGAGCACGGGCAGACTAAAATCCGCTTCGCCTAGAAACATCTGCAAGAATCGAATTTAAATTGTGGCGACACAAATAAGTCCGATGGATGAGACTTTCCCCTCTCTGTCTACTAATGTATTATCCTCCATTCTCTTTTGGCCTCTGTTGCAAAATTTTTGCAAAATCATAGACAGATTCTGTTCTGAAGAATTCTTTCTTCTGTGATATAATGCCGAGTAGTCAGTTTGAAGCCACCCGAAGTTGTGGAGAAACATAGCGCTTCCATCTTCGAGTGTGGAACGTAAGCCAAGCAAGAAACCATTATGAAGCAGGCAGCAAAATAAGTTCTCTTTTGTTGTTGATCTCATGAAAGGACTGAAAATGATAAGGATAAAGAGACGGGACTTCACGAAAATATATACAAATACCGAAGCTCTGAATGTGCTGAGGTTTAAATAGGATATTCATCGCTCTTTTCCAAATGCATAAAATCTTAGTTTCATCACAATTCACTTTCTTAAAATTGGGTACAAGTGACAATATCAAAAGTTTTGTCGACATCAAGAGCTTCCATTTTATTTTGCTTCGCGTTTTCCAGCAACTACTCCTTATAATCAGTCGTCTGCAAGGTACTTTCTTCCGGTGGCGGGATTGACGCCTAGGAGCGTTTAAGGGAGTGGAAATGTTTATATCTTAAGCAACCTATTTCCCTTCAACTTTATATTCCTCAGTCCCGTCCTCATTGGTGGAGAGTTTGAACTTCTGTTGGTAGGAGAAACAGTGATTGGACTTCCTACCTACCTACCTACCTAACTACCTACATACCTGTGTGTCTAACTACCTATCTGCCTAACTACCTAACTACCTACATACTTGCCTGTCTAACTACCTACTTGCCTGCCTACCTGCCTGTCTAACTACCTACATGCCTGCCTGCCTGCCCATCATCCATAACTCTACATGTATCCAGATATACATGGTGACAGTAAAATTGTCACTACGCCAGATTAATTGAGCATCACGTCATTACGATAGCTCAACGCGTTCATAACCTCGACAGTGGATGGAGATGAGTGTTCAGCTTCACGCTTCAGCCAATTTACCCTTGCAATACATTGGACAGGAGGCTGAGAGTAGTGCATGTCCCATCTGGTTTCTGTGAAGAAAGAAATATCGTACTTCTGCCCGGAATCGAACTCCAATTCCTAGCACGTTCAGACCGCAACCCTCCAGGAGTCTAACAAAGAGAGCGTAAAAGAAGGCGCCCCGGTCTCAGGCCCCACAGGGCGGCCTCTCTGGCCCTGTGTAAACCTGGGGGCAGGGACGGTCTTAGGGAACGTGACGGCCAGGGTCTGCAGGCTTCTCTCAACGGGCTACCGGCTGGACGACCGAGGAGTCATGGTTCGAATCTGGGAAGGGGGATTTTATTATTCCCTTCTCTACGACGTGGAAACATATAAGGTAAGTGGAGACATAGGTCCACGTATTCCTAACCTAGCTATGAGATGAAATATTTTCTCTGCGCAAAACAACACTGCTACAAGTAAATGGCGTTGGTTTCACAGAGAAGGAAGGAAACGATAGTCGCCCTTTGTTTTTGCGTAGTTAATTTGTAGCAGCAGTCGCCAAGGCATCACCCTGTAACGTTTCAAGTAAGATATGTTACAATCTATCAATCGCCATGTGCCAGTTATACAACCGGGCGTTTAACTGAGACAAAAAAATAAGTGGAAGGCTTTTTTTTCTTTCTCTTTTTTTACTGCTAGTGCTGTGGGGCTAAGTCCCTTGTACTGCGACCACTTCTGGCCTATCGTACCAGCCCCAGATGATAGGTGAGGGTGACTGTGGAGCAATTGGTGGAATGAAGATTGGCAGGGGAAACCGAAGTACTTGGAGAAAATCTGTCCCAGCACCACTTTGTCCACCACAAATCCCACTTGACCAGACCCGGGATCGAACCCGGGCCGCCGCGGTTCGAAGCCAGCGACTAACCACTTGAGCTATGACGCGGCCAAAGCGGAAGGCTTACTGCACACGGAAGCTTGTAATCTCTGCGCGTCTCTGCATTTTATTGCCATCTGTAGGAGAACAAGGCATTTACAACCGGTCACATGACACTATCGGCAATGGCACGGAATAGAATTCAGCCTATCGGGTGACGGGATTGGCAGTGAATGGGTTAAATTTAAGTTTGTGCTTAGGTCTCACAAGTTAATCAGTTTTATTTTACAGCATATTCGTACATTTACCATGAAAATAAGTTGTGTATATATAATACAAATTAAGGGTACAAGATTGGAGTGTTTGGGGTATGTGATTGGAATGGAAAAAGTGAGGAACTCTAAGAACATTTTTGAGACCTTATGAAAAGTGGGAAATCCCAGATCAAGAGGAAAGGAGGACATAAAGAGGAATTTTTAGGTGCTGAAAATGAAGAGTTTGAAGTAGAAGGCAGTTAGCACAAAGGAATGGACATCATAAGGGAGGACAAGGTGCTTAGAGAAACACAAGTCCAAGAAGTAACAATATTATCATTTACATTTTTAATGGGCCTTGAATGTGTTTCACTGAATTGGAAGGGCGAAGACTAATTTCAGTGGTACTACTATCTATGACATTAGGAATAAGAATGATTGATTACATATCCAGTGCATCTCATAATTTGGAACACCATTTCCTCTTGTCTAAATGGAGCAGTATTAAATGCCCATTAATTCAATCAATTTGTTATTTTGCAGCATTTTTGACTCTCTGCTGAAGTCCCAGCCAGAACCCTCCATCTACTGTCATAACCAAGCCACTCTTGGATATTTTAATTGGTATTGGTGTCTTTGGTACAACTTTTAGGTTGAAGCAGGACAACAGCTGTACCAATGCTATCTTGGCTTCCATAAGTGCAGATCGGCTCCCTGGAACATAATGAGAAGAAAAGATTAATTAGACTGAATATTAGGACTTCCGGAATACAGTGCTGGGTGTTAACCACAAAGAAACAGGGCGACTGAAGGCAGCAAAAATGAAAATCTGGTGGAAATAGTTAACAGTAACAATTCTGCTTTCCTTCACCTCTTCAGTCGATGTTGATTGCCCTTTATTTCACAAGGTACATTTCACAAACACTATCTCTTGGACTGAGGGATGGAACTTTATTTCCCCTCTGTCTCCGATGGAATTTTATGAGTACTAGGAATTAATTAAATAATTTTCCTGGGGAGTAAAGCGCGGCCGGCGCGTAAGGCTGACAACCTTGCTGTCGTCTGTGAGCCGATTGTTTAGATAGTGTGGGACCCTCAACGTCTCACAATCCTATGGGCCTTCACGGCCTGTTACAGGGATAGCTTTACTTTTTACTTTTTAATAATAATAATAGGCTTAACAGTAGTACTGCTGCTATTCGGATCTGAAACATGGACCTGAAAAAGAGTATATACATGATGTTGCAAAAAAGATCCATGACTGAATGTTGTTCCCTTGGATGCTTATGCTAATTGCATTCAGAAACTTTTTGAACCGTAAAGAAATGTATTCAAGTATGCGGAGATTTTTTTATTTCCTTGTGTTATTTATTTATTAACATCTTATGTGAACACCAGTATGGACACTTTATTGCCACACCTGTGCAAGTAATGAAAACACATGGTGTTTAGTACGGAAAGCAGATAACTAGGTTTTGATTAATTGCAAGTTGATGGTAGTACCGCGGGGTTGCGCCACTTGCTGGTCTGTCATGCGATCTCTAAACGGAGACCGTGTTAACAGATGGCTCTGCAGGGAACGTTGCGAGTTTGCACAATAAAACAGAAAATGCACGCAGTGTGGATTTTCAACGAAATTAGCATTAATTGTTGTACGAAGCATTTCTAGTTGTCAACAGCAGTTTTATACTTCTAAATGACGGCTTAAGCGGTCAGCAGTTCACGAAGTGCACAAAAATAAAGGGGCTGACGCTTACGCCAACACAAAGAGGTACTAAATTAAATAAGTTATAATTTGCTGGATTTGAGGTTGTCGCACCGGTAGTTGCATTTCTTGACTGCAACGTCACTTAGAATGGAGAAGCCGGGCGTTTCTGAGTAACGTTTCGCCTCCATCCTCAGGGTCGAAGCGTAAGCTACGCAAAAACTAACTCAAATGCTACCTTCTTGCGTGAACTGCTCTCCGGCCTCTAGAGACGTTCCAAAGGAACGTAGGGATTTGTTTAATTGCACGGCTTTACAGCTCAGAAGGCTGCACTTTTCTAGCTATATTTTTTTTTATTTTCGTTATCAATCTTTCTAAAATACGTGCCAAGTGCCCCGACATTCAACAGAGCACCGAGCATAGCCGTGGCTTTACCAAAGCAAAAGAAGGATGGAGAGATACAGGTTACAGCTGAAGATGCATATCACAGAGAGGATGCCAAGGTGCTGTAACATTACAACTGCAGTGTTAACCTCAATGGAAAGTGACGTCATGAAACCAGAAAGACGATGGTTTGACCAATGATATGCTTCGACACATGTTGCTCGTGGAGACAGTAATGGCGAAGAAGGCTGCGTTGATGGGGAGGATTCTGAGGAAGAAGACGATGGGGAGAGTTCCTATTTCATTGTATGACATCTGAGGTTCTTATTCTGTGTTTTGACATATAATGTCGGGTACATGGGCACCAACGTTTCGGAGTAACTTGCTGCCTCCATGTTCTACCCTCTAGGATCAACGGTTGTAAAACCCCTAGCTTTAGGTCTCCATTTTGGGTGCATCAGTCTCATTATAGCCCTACATTTTCCGCCTCTTGCAGTCTTAGGCACTTATCTGCCTAACAGAAACAACGACCCAGAGCTCCTTTGCTCCGTACTGTTACATGTATTACTGTAGGTATAGGGTGTTTTTGATCCGGGATATAGAAAGAAGTGGAGCATGCACACAGCGTATTGACACCCACCACGAAAACCCCCTCAGAAATAGCTCGAATTTCTCAGTGATTACAGTGGTGATGTTAAAGCTAGGGCAAGAAGATCGGTTATACTGGATGGTTTTACTGTGCATTGCGAAATTGTTATGTCTATTTTGTCTTCTGACAGCAATGACGGTCAGGAAAAGACAAGGAGGGAGAAATAGAGGGCGGTCTGGAGTGAAGAAGAGGGAACTGCAGTGGGGCTGGTTTGTCAAACGACAAAGAAACTGATACATTTTAGCATCTCACGGCGGTCACTGTGGAGATTACTATCTTTTGCTATGTGACGGTGTGTAGTCTAGCATGCGTTTGCTGAAGGTTCAGAGGATTGTACTGAGTCCATATTCAGGGTGAATGGCAACAAACAGCCTGGACCCACTCCTGGAAGACTGCACGGCATCATATACCAGATGATAATATTCTTCGGGGAAGAGATTCCTGGTAAAAGCAATGGTGGAAGTGGAATCTCCCTTCATACGTTCAAATATTTTCCGTAGTTTCTGTTTTGTTGGCCGAGCTATTACAGGGCCTGACGTCTCGTAAAAGATAATCGTGTAATACACGACATGTGCAACCACAAACCCTGGTCGTGATCAGGTAAAGTAACTGAGCTTCTGCGAAATACCTGAGACCACCATGTCCAGGTACTTCATGCCGTGGACTGCTTCGTATGTAAGCTTCCCTCCGTCCAATGTTTTGAAGACATGATGACCACAAGATCGAAATATGTAGAGAATAAAGAGAATACATTTTAGCAAATTTGTTGAACATCAGTGTTGCACGGAGACTGTAAACATTAATTGACATTAATTATATTTACGGATAGATTGTAAAAAGACTTCATTCGTCTTTATATTAACCCTTCCGCACCGACCCTTTAAATAATCGTATGCCACCGACATCGGTGCAGTGCACCGCCCTGCGCAGTGTTAGTTTTGAAGGACGTTGCTGACAAAACGAGGAAAGATATTCCAATTTTCTTTTCAGGAGTACATAGATTAAGGTTTCATCTTTCAATTGGTATATGAGTTATTTATTTTGGACGAATTTTTAGCACGGTATTTTTATTTTATATCGTTAGTTTAATAGTTCGTACTTTGGTCTCATTGCGCCTAGATTTCATTGAAGTTTTTCAAATTCTAAATAAGGAAAATGTATAAACTATATATCTTTCGACTCTATGGTCTTTGCTTGTCTATATGAGTCACTCACTGAAACCCCAGGCGAAGGTTTACCTTGAGTGGGTTGCTGTACAGTCTGCTGACACAATGAAGTAGTCAAACAAGAGGGTCCTTTTTACTGTGAACCAAATGCAACCTAAGAAAACAAACTTACGAATGATACAGAAATCTATGATGTCATAACACATTCTTCTCTCAGTCGTGCCATAACCATGGCCTCTACAAGTAGGAAAGTTTTACAGGACGATGAACTAGATGAGCTCCTTGCTCACGACTCGGAAGTTAGTGAGTTCGAATATTCGGATAGTAGTGAAAACAGTGATAATGAAATTGAAGATCAGGCTGTAGTTGATGCTATCCAAGATCATAGTATTGAAGATGACGACGAAATAGTGGCGAGGGTTCCAGTGGCGGATTCAGACGAGAGTTATTTTTGGCAAAATATGGATAATTATGAT